ACCCATGAAGGGTGTTATGAGATTTGAGAAGAAGGGTAAATTGAGTCCTCGATTCATTGGGCTGTTTGAGGTGCTTCGGAGGATTGGGGAGGTTACTTATGAGCTTGCTTTGCCGCCCAATTTATCGAGTGTGCATCCAGTATTTCATGTTTCTATGCTTCGGAAGTATATTGGCGATCCGTCTCATGTTTTAGATTTCAGCACGGTTCAGTTGGATGATGATTTGACCTATAATGTGGAGCCAGTAGCCATTTTGGAGCGTCGGGTTCGAAAGTTGAGGTCAAAGGATATAGCTTCAGTGAAAGTGTAGTGAAGAGGTCGGCCCATGGAGGAGACTACCTGGGAGACCGAGCGGGAGATGCGGAGCAGATATCCTCACCTATTTGAGGCTTCAGGTATGTTCTTGACTCGTTCGAGGACGAACGTTTGTTTAAGAGGGGGAGGATGTAACGACTCGGTCGGTCTTTTCATGAATTACCACTCCGTTTTCCCCATTTCTGCTTATTATTACTTTGTTCAGTTGCATTATATGTTATCGGGTTGATTGGTTCGGGTTCGAAGAGGTTTTGGTAAGGTTTGAGACACTTAGTCTCTTTTGAGTAAGCTTAAGTTGGAAAAGTCAACCGGATATGACTTATGTGGAAAAGGGCTCGGATGTGAATTTCGATTGTTTGGATAGCTTCGGGAGGTGATTTGGGACTTAGGAGCGTGATCAGAATGTGTTTTGGAGGTCCGGAGTAGATTTAGGCTTGAATTGGCGAAATTGGAATTTTGGCGTTTTCTGGTTGATAGGTGAGATTTTGATATATGGGTCGGAATGGAATTCCGGAATTGCAGTAGGTCTGTTGTGTCATTTGGGATGTGTGCACAAAATTTCAGGTCATTCGGACGTGGTTTGATAGACTTTTTGATCGAAAGCGGAATTTGGAAGATTTTGGAATTCATATTCTTGAATCCGATGCAAATTTGGTGTTTTGTTGTTATTTTGAGCGTTCTGAAAGTTGGAACAAGTTTGAATGATGTATTGGGATATGTTGGTATGTTTGGTTGAGGTCCCGAAGGCCTCGGGTGAGTTTCGGGTGGTAAAACAGACCAAATGCATAGTTGAGAAGTTGCAGATTTTGGCTTCAGCTGTTGCATACTTTTGGCCTACGCGTTCACGAGTGGGCCCTCACGTTCGCGAAGGGTTATGATAAGAGGCTTGAAATTTTTCCTTCGCGTTCGCGAGGGAGGTCCCGCATTCGCAAAGGGGTGGGTCAAGAAGCATCGCGTTCGCGATAAGTCTGACGCGTTCACGATGGTTTGAGATGCTGAGGCATCGTGTTCGTGATGGTGCAGTCGCGTTCGCGTAAGAGGATTTTGGTCAATGGTATCTTTGTGATTTGCGAATGCGAGGCTTTGACCGCGTTCGCGAAGAAGGATTTCTGATCGCTGGGCAGAATGTTTAGAAGGCCATTTTCGCGAGTTTTGACCTAAGTCCACCATTTTTGACTCGGTTTTGGATCTTTTGAGAGAGATTTAAGAGGGAATCAAAGAGAACTTATTGTAGGTAAGAATTTTGGACTTAATACTCGATCCTATTGTGATTTCTACCTAATTAAACATGAAATTTGGGGAATTTGAAGCTTAATTGGGGAGTTAGGGCTTGGAAACTTGAGACTTTAATCAAGGGATTTGAGGGGGCCATTTGTAGTCGAATTTTGGTATTCTTGGTATGTATGAACTCGTGGGAGGACAAGGATTCCGTTGATGTGATTTTTATCGAATTTCGAGTCGTGGACCCAGTGTCGGGTTTGGCCAATTTCGGGATTTTTGGTATAACTTGATTAATTTCGCATGGGCTTCGCCCCTTTTGCATATTCTAATGTTATGATTCTGATTTTGGGTAGATTCGACGCGAGTTGAGGCCGAGGCAAGAGGCAAAGGCGTCACGGAGTAGTAATTCATCCGGTTGAGGTATGTAACCATTGTAAATCTAGAACTGATGGTGCAAAACCCCAGTATTTCGTATCGTTTTGATAAATGAGGTGACGCACATGCTAGGTGACAAGCGTTTGGGCGTGCACTGGTAGGGATTGTGACTTGGTCCGTCTCGTAGCGACTATTAAGCCGCATACTTGATTTGAAATCTTATAATATCCCGTATTTTAGAAATTTATACTGTATTATGGGTTGTATGCCATGTTTGGGGCATTGTGCCGACCTGTTGAGACCCTTAGGGGCATTTTTACTGTTTTCCTCACTCTATTTGTTTGAAAACATAACCTTAGTCATGGTTTACCTGTTTGTTGTTTAAAACTGGTTTTATCACTCTACTTCTTATATGTGAGAACTGTTCGGACTGAGTTCCTTGATTTCCACTATTATGCCCGAGTGGCTGTGAGGTTAATGACTGAGAGAGGTTGAGGACCTAATGGTGAAGATTATAGATATTTCAGATCGGGTTGCATGTCGCAATAACATATTATATGTANTATATATATTGGATCAGGTTGCACACCGCAGCGATATGATGCTTGGGCTGTAGGAGCCCCTTTCGGAGTCTGTACATTCCCGGGGGCGTAGACGACTGTAAACTATGGATCGGGCTGCATGCCGCAACGGTTATTATGATTATTACTATTATGAGGTGTATCTGAGCCTGAGTGCTGAGTGTGAGTACTGAGTGACGAGAGCTGAGTCACGAGTGACTGAGAGGCTTGCCCGAGAGGCTATATTTATGAAGGATACCTTGCCCGAGGGGCCCATTTATGATATTTTTGCTGATTTCACTCTTCTTTTAAAATAAACTTCTATTGAAAACTTCTAAGTAAATGATTTCAAAGTATATCGATTGAAACTAAAGCTTCATGAAGAAACTAGTTTTAAAACTGTTGAGCTGACTTGATATTTTGTCGTTTACTCTTCTATATGATTTTTGACTGCTCATCACTGCTTTCAGACCTTATTTACTTTAGCTACTTACTGAGTTGGTGTACTCACGTTACTTCCTGCACCTTGCGTGTAGATCCAGGTGCCCGAGCGGCAGAGTGAGGATCCTCAGCATTATTAGAGTTTGCCGTAGACTGCAAGGTAGTTGCATGGCGTCCGCAGCCCTGCTTTCTTCCTTCCTATCCTTGTTTTTCTCGCATTTTAGACTTGTTATGTATCAGACAGTCGAATTTGTATATTTAGAGGCTCTAGACTCGTAACACCAGATGTTTGGGTTGTGTTGGTTTAATGTTTTATTGATTTCCACACATTTTAGCTGTTTTATACATTTCTTATGAGAATTTGAGATTTAAATCAGTGTTAGAAAATGGTTTTATAAAGAAATTTACTATGGCTAATGGTTTGGGTTGACTTAGTATTGTGATAGGCGCCATCACGACCGGGCATTTGGGGTCGTGACATTAGGAGTTGTGTCTTATTTGCTATGTGTTAATTGTTGAGTACGACGTATAGGTGTGGTGACGAGTATCTATACATTAGTGTCAAACATGCCCGTGAATCTGTTACTATGATTGATGTGACTCCGTTTCGTATTGTTCATGCTTTATATGATGATTTCTATTGTTGAACAAGGCTTGTGGAAGTATTATTGGTAATTGAACATTGTAGAGCATTGGCTCAAGTTGAGAATTGAGTTGTGAAGTAATTGTGGAAAAGAGAAGAGGTTTATGATATTGTCTCCCTTGCCGGGATGTTATTGCATTTGATATTATTTCCCTTGTCGGGATGTTATTACTCATGATATTATTTCCCGTGCTGGGATATTGTTGTTATACTATTTTTCCCTTGCCGGGATTCTATTGTAATTTTATTGATTCCCTTGCCCGTATTGCTTTGTGATTGTTGCTTGGGTGAGGAAGAGTGTAAAAGCATGAAGGGTGATGTCGTGCATGATATTTGTGAGAGAGTGTTAATGCACGAAGGGTGATGTTGTGCCGATATTGTGAGGTAAAAGCACAAAAGGTGATGTCGTGATGCACGATGTACAATGTCGTGTCATGATATGAGTGATAATGCACGAAGGATAATTTCGTGTCATGATTATGTGAGGTAAAAGCACGAAGGGTGATGTCGTGCCGATTATATTGATTCTTATGGTGAGGACGAGAGTAAAAGCACGAAAGGTGATGTCGTGTACTTGTCATTGATTTCCTTATTCTTGCTTACAGTTGAATTTTCGTGTTCCTTTCACTTCTTTATTGAAATTTTGTTTGTACATGATATTTCCCGCAGCATATTTCCCTTTCCCATCTTTAACTGCTAGTTTCTATCATTATTACTTGTTGTATATGATATAACTGCATAGGTTTATTTGGTAGTCTTGTCCTAGCCTCGTCACTACTTCGCCGAGGTTAGGCTAGACACTTACCAGCACATGGGGTCGGTTATGCTGATACTACACTCTGCACTGTATGCAGATCCCGGTGTTGCAGTGTAACGACCCGGCCGATCGTTTCATGAGTTACTGCTCCGTTTTCCTCATTTGTGCTTATTATTGTCTTGTTCAGTTGTATTATCACTACAAGAAAAAAGGCATTTAGCGGCAATAAATATTCATTTTAGCGGCAACATATATTGCCGCCAAAACTTTTACCGGCAATCAATTATTTGCCGTTGTAGCCAGCGTCGCTAAAGGCATTAGTGGCAATGGTAAAGGTCCCAATTACTGCCGCTAAAAGATTGAATTTTTAGTGGCATTTAGTTACCGACAATTATAATAGCCACTAAAATCACCCCTCAAATTGCCTTTTATTCTGCTTTAACAGCATTTGTTATGGCCGATAAATATTCATTTTATTGCTGATAAAGGTACTTTTTAATAGCTATTATAATAGCAACTGAATATATACCCAGATTTGCCATTATACTAATATTTAACCGCCTTTCTTTTGTATGCAATTCTAACATCATAAAAATATGACTCATTCAAGAAAGCATAAAAATATTTCATTAAATTCATAATATACAGAAGCAACTACTAATACATAAATTTAGAGTATCAACATATAAGAAAAATACGTCACTAGAATCCAATAATAGTTGTTTCTCCTTCTACAAGCCTAGTTCCATACAATGTCAATTTTAGAATCATCATATTCAGATATGGAAGAAAGCATTTATTCTCTCAATCAATATTTCTGCACCACATGAATCAGATGATACCAGGTCACTATTCATAGTGTCTTGACAAGGCTGAACAAACACGGTCGATTCTTGATGACTCTAGCAAGTTGCATCCAATAGACACTGACTTTGAAGCCAAGTTATTTGCGGATTGTAGCTTCGAAGAAAACTGCACAATAGAAGTTGTTAGAAAACTTACAACATCTATTCATGAAAAGAAATTAACATATATGAAGTCGAAGTTAGATTGTGAAGACAAAAATAAATGTTGATTCTCTTCAACTTTGTACTCTTAGCTCTTTGTTTATTGAGCATCACATATGACTAGTTCCTGTTAATCGATAAAATACACATTCAAACACAAAAAAATTGAATTCAATTTTTAAAAAAAATATAAAATAATAAATAATGCACAAATAGTTAACTTTAGCTAAGAAACGAAACTAATGTTGCATATTTTATATAACGGTTCGGGCAAGGGATGTTGCAGCCTCTCAATCATGCACAACACAGTGCAAGTAAAATGACAAAAATAAACGTCTGAACAAAATTCTACGGATACAATGATCTTCATATTAGTTTTCAATTGTAAAAAATAAACATAGCTACTAATGGATAACACAAACTATTAAAACATTTAATGATTGCCATATATATATATATATATATATATATATATATATATATCATATGCAATTCCAAATTTAGTTTTCCCTACTCACAAAAATCACACTGTTACATCACTCCCCAACTTTCTAATTTCAAGAACCATCGATACTCCATCATTCTTAATCTAATAAACTTGAACAGTTTTCTAAGCAAAAATATTGGTGCCGAAAATTTATGCACTTCAAGTGAAAGATGGATGATATATTGTCCAATAGAAGGCTTACTAAATACTCGCAGTAGATATCACTTCACGCTAAGAATCAAGAACTAAGATTTCCATTATTTTGTATTGGCAGAATGGCTTAAATGGCACCTATACTTGTCCCACTTTGTCATGCCGGTCCCTAACATAGGAGATTGTATTGCACCCACTGATAGTGTCGTGTCATAAGCATTTATTATACACGGTTTGAAGGAGTGTAAGTGTTCAATTGGAAAATTGTTAAGTTTGGGAACCGGCATGACAAAGTGGAAGAAGTATAGGTGCCATTTAGACCATTCTACCTTTTGTATTCTTTGGATACTTTATTTATTAAAGATCACTCACAAGAAAATCACAATGTAAATTTTATTCTTCCTTAAGAAAACAAAGAGGCTTTCTAACCAAAGAGTAAAGAGTCCAACCTTGACTGATTTAAGGACTTTGAACACTAAAGAAATCAAAAGTCTTAAGATTATAATAATCCCAATATAACTCATGATCAAAGAAATTAACACTTCTCAGGATACGAATGTCGTTAGATTTATATATCATCTTTTAAAATTGATAACAATAGGTCAGTTCAGGTCCTACAGAATATTGTTCAAAATTCTCCTTTAAGTTACAATTTCAAACAAAATCTATCGTGTCTCACGAAAATTTTTATTACTTAAGTATAAGCTAAAAAAGAAATGACAGCATGCTGCATGGAAACATAAGGCAGGACAAGGTGCCAATGGAAATGAAATTCATACCTCAGTTCGGACCTCTTGAGCATAAATTGGTAAAATCATGGTAACACTATTAGAAAATATAATTGCACCCTGCAACAAGAAGAACCATATCCACTGCATATTAAAAAAATTGACATAAAAGGAAAGGAGCCACCGAAGATAAGTTATAACAACTTATCATTAGAATCTTGCTACCTTCACATGACTTATTCCATCATTTACTTAATTGTCATGCCTTCTATTTGGCTTGGCAAATGATAAGCATCAAGAATGCAAGATGTTTAACTCTAATGCTGGTGCAGTCCATTTCTTTTTCCACAAAGAGATCCCAACGAAGAGGTTTCTTCATGAAATAATAGAATCTTGAATGTATGAAATGTAGAAGCTAAAAGGTAAAGAGAAATGGGATCCGTCTTACAACAAAAGATGTTTGCCAATAAGCTGTAGAAAAATATTAACAAGGACTAATGGCAACATCAAGAACAAGGTGTTAATCCATTTGCGAAAAATGTTAATGAACATTTATTAGATAGTTAAAATCGAAGAAGCCTCTTTCAGATTCATCTAACTGAATATTCATATAAAATAGTGCAGCACTAGCTTTCGCGGCATAAACAGATCAGTTGAAGCTTTTACACTAGATAGAGTGCATCGACATCTATGCCAGTATATCGGCCAATTATTTTTACAGTAGCAAAACTACTAGAAACTACTGTAGTTATCCATTATTGGGGCTCTCCTCGATGCTACTATACAAAGTAATACAAATGTGAATTATATAGATACTAAAATGTATGTTACCAAACATTACAATAGGCTGTAATAATATGCACAAAGCATACTAATAAAGGCAATTATTGGTAACAAAAATATGCTCACGATAAATAATTTAAATGCATACTTGAATTTATGTCTAGAGTGTCTGTCTGCAAGAGGTTTCAAGTGGCATCCCCTCGCTGAAAATCCAATTACAAAATTAAATCTTATTTTTCACAAGACCAAATTCACGAAATTACACCTTGAATTTTACTTTTTGTTTTTTATCGTTGCATCATAATATGGATAAATTTCGAATCTGAAATGTTAGTATAGATCCTTAATGTAAAACATATCGGACAAAACAAAGAAAGTTTAAAATTAATAAGACTTACCGCAGAAGGAATAAGAAGCAGATAAGGTAGAAAGTACAATTTTAATTTTGACAAGTCATGAAACCCTAGTTCCTAATGAGCGACCGAATATATATTTAGCGCTCATTTAATCTGATCGACGTATTTAGAAACAAAAATTCACAATAGGAACAAGTCAATAAGCTTGTTTACAAGCTCCAATTTCTATGCTTCAAAAAGAAAGAGCCATCCAAAATGAAGAAAATCAAAACTAGAAGGAAAAAATATAGACAACGAGAAAGAGTAGAGAGATATTACCTGGTGATGGTGGCCGGCGATAGAACAAGATGATTTGGGTGCCGACGATAGAGAAAGAGATACGAGGGTTTAATCAATTTTGTGCATCTCTGTGGCAGAGAAGATGGTTTTGCAATTTGGGGTGAATGTATCCATTCGGGAATATTTAACAGGGAAACAAATAAAAAGAAGATTAAAATCAATTTTAGGAGTAACTTTTAGTGACTATTACTTTGAATTGCCAGTAAATAAGCACTCTTTTCTGGCCAAAATTAAATAGCCGCAAATATTTGTGTTTACATAATAAAAAATAATTGCCGCTAAAGGTCTTTTTTCTTGTAGTGTATATGTTATCGGATTGGTTGGTTCGGGTTCGAAGAAGTTTTGGTAAGGTTTGAGACACTTAGTCTCTTTTGAGGAAGCTTAAGTTGGAAAAGTCAACCAGATGTTGACTTATGTGTTAAAGGGCTCGGATGTGAGTTCCGATGGTTCGGATAGTTTCGGAAGGTGATTTGGGACTTAAAAGCGTGATCGGAATGTGTTTTAGAGGTACGGAGTAGATTTAGGCTTGAATTGGCGAAATTGGAATTTTGACATGTTCCGATTGATAGGTGAAATTTTGATATAGGGGTCGGAACGGAATTCCGGGAGTTGCAGCAGGTCCGTTATGTCATTTGGGATGTGTGTGCAAAATTTCAGGTCATTCGGACGTGGTTTGATATACTTTTTGATCAAAAACGAAATTCGGAAGATTTTTGGAACCTTAGGCTTGAATTCGATGTGGTTTGGTTGATTCGATATTGTTTGAGGTGTTTTGAAGATTGGTATAAGTTTGGATAGTGGTATATGACTTGTTTGTGCTTTTGGTTGAGGTCCCGGGGTAATTTCGGATAGTTGACAGAAGATTTGAGTTGGGTTTTTGCAACTGAAGTTTTAGGACTGTTGTCATAACCGCATCTGCGGTTAGGAGGCCGTAGGTGCGACCCCCGCAGATGCGAAAACAAGTCGCAGAAGCGGAATGAAATATGAGGAGTTGGAACCGCAGAAGCGGCTAGGTGAGCGCACATGCGCTATCGCAGGTGCGAATATCTTATGGCAGATGCGACTTTGGGCATTTAAGTGAAAACCGTAGGTGTCAAAACCGCATAAGCACTAATGGGACAGCAGGTGCGAAAAGCCTGGGTGAGAAGGTATACAAGACTTCCTTCGCGATTTTTTAGTTATTCTTCACCATTTTCATGCGGGTTTGAGCTTGAGGGAGCTATTTGAAGAGGGATTTCATAGAGGTAATATTTTTGGACCCTAAACTCGTTTCTATGGTGTTATTTCACTAATTTGACTTGGAATTAATGGGAATTAAAGGTTAAAAATTGGGAATTGGGAATTAGGGCTTGAGATTGGAGACCTATGAGTAAGGGTTTGAGGGGCCATTTGTTGTCGGATTTTGGTACTTTTGAGATGAATGAACTCGTGGAGTGATAAGAATTTCATTGATGTAAGTTTTATCGGATTCCGAGACGTGGGCCTGGGGTCGGGTTGGGACAATTTTAGGATTTTTGGTATAATTTGATTGTTTTCGCATGGGCTTCGTTCCCTTAGCATATTCTAATGTATGATTCTGATTTTGGGTAGATTCGACGCGAGTTGAGGCCAAAGCGAGAGGCAAAGGCATCGCGGAGTAGTATTTCATCCGGTTTGAAGTAAGTAATCATTGTAAATCTGGAACTGAGGGTACAAACCCCGATATTTCGTATTGTTTTGATAAATGAGGTGATGCACATGCTAGGTGACGAGCGTGTGGGCATGCACCGGTAGGGATTGGACTTGGTCCATCACGTAGCGACTATTAAGCCGTGTATTTAATTTAAAATCTTATGATATTATGCATTTTAGAGATTAATACTATATTATGGGTTGTATGTCATGTTTGAGGCCTTGTACCGACCTGTTGAGGCCCTTAGGGGCATTTTTACTGCTTTCCTCACTCTATTTGTTTGAAAACATATCCTTAGTCATGTTTTACCTGTTTACTGTTTAAACCTGGTTTTTATCACTCTATTTCTTAAAATGTGAAACCTGTTTGGGCTGAGTTTTCCTGATTTCCACTGTTATGCCCGAGTGGTTGTAAGGTTAATGACTGAGAGAGGTTGAGGGCCAAATGGTGAGGATTATAAATATTATGGATCGGGTTGCACGCCGCAACAGTATTATATGTATATATTATGGATCGGACTACACGCCGCAATGATACTTATATGGATCGGGATGCACGCTGCAACGATATATATATATTGGATCGGGTTGCGCGCCACAGCGATTTGACGCTTGGGCTGTAGGAGACCCTCTGGAGTCTATACACCCCCAGTGAGCATAGTCGACTATAAACTATGAATCGGGCTGCACGCCGCAACGACTATTATGATTATTACTATTATGAGATATTATTGAGCATGAGTGCTGAGTGTGAGTACCGAGTGACGAGAGCTGAGTCACGAGTGACTGAGAGGCTTGCCCGAGAGGCTATATTTATGAGTGATACCTTGCCCGAGGGGCCCATTTATGATATCTTTGCTGATTTCACTCTTCTTTTATAATGAGCCTCTGTTGAAAGCTGCTAAGTAAATGATTTCAAAGTATTTCAATTGAAACTGAAGTTTTTACGAAGTAACTGACTTTTAAACTATTGAGTTTGATTTGATACTCTGTTGTGCACTCTTATATATGATTTTTAACTATTCGTCACTGCACTCAGACCTTATTTACTTTAGTTACTTACTGAGTTGGTGTATTCACGTTACTCCCTGCACTTTGTGTGCAGATCTAGGTGCCCGAGCGGCAGAGTGAGGGTCCCCAGCATTTTTGGAGCTTACCGGAGACTGCAAGGTTGAAATAACGGATGGCGTTCGCAGCCCTGCTTTCCTCCTTCATCTAGACTCGTGACACCAGATTGTTGGGCTGTGTTGGTTTGATGTTTTACTGTTTTCCGTACATTTCGGTGATTTAAATATTTCTTATGAAAAATTGAGACTTAACTCATGTTAGAAAAATATTTTTATTAAAAGAGGTTTACTGTGGATATTTGATTGGGTTGGCTTGCCTAGTATTGTGATAGGCGTCATCACGTCCGGGTAATTGGGGTCGTGACATGCAGCTTTTGGACCACAGTGAGATTGCTGCCTTCAATCCAGTGGCGGAGACCCGAGGTAGTCCTGCAGGCGTCCGCAGGCCTTGGCATCTCCTTCTATCTTTCTATCTGTTTCTTTTATGTATTTCAGAGACAACTTTGTATTTATCTTTCAGACCACTGTTTGTAGTATTCGTAGACAGTCCGTGACATTGTGACACCAAATTTTGGGTAGAGTTGTATGTTGGATTCTGCACTAGTATATGGTTAAACTATTGGTTTTCGTCCTCCGCATTTCTGTTTATTATAATTATTCCGCTGTTGATCACTTGTTATATTGAATTGTTAAAAAGGCTAAGTAAAAAGGTTAATGAATCTATAATTCTCGGCTTGCCTAGCTTTCACGAGTAGGCGCCATCACGACTCCCGAGGGTGGAAAATCTGGGTCGTGACAGTATTTTGGTCGGTAAATTAAGTTTTGACCGTTTGACCAAATACCGACCAACGTTGGTTGGTTACTGTTTTAAAAAAATTGTTTTTTTTTTGTTTTTATTTTTTAAAATATTATAAGCTATAAAAAATTATTATAAATAATTTATTTTATTTAACTATACAATTATTATAAATTATAAGCATAATCTTTACACAAAATTATATTACTAGGTAATTACTTTTAATAGATTATAATAGCATCTATCTAAGTAAATTTTCTAAATTATATTTAAGTATATGAGTAATTTCACACAAACACACATACATTATATTATAATTGATGATCAATCTTATACATTACTACGTACGAATAATTTATCAATTGATAAACCAATATAATATTATTCTATTTTAGGTCGAGACGTTTTATTTTTTATATTAATCGATATAGGTCAAAACGTTTTATTTTTAATAGTCATCGATGCATCTAAATAAGTTATAAGTCGATGAATCAATTTATAAATAGATATATTTGATGATAAATTATATATACTAATTAGGATCTTCACAAGTGATCTATTACTAAAAGAACCCGACCCTGTGTTCCTAGCTCTTCGTGTTCTTATATATATACGGCTATACCTATACACACACACACACTTTATTGTAATACTTTAACTATATATATAGCTTGTTATAGTATATGTTAGTGTGTGTATATAACACACACACACTTCGTTGTGCTACTTTAACTACATATATAGCATGTTATAGTATATGTTAGTGTATTCATTATTTGTATTACAAAAGAGTTAACTGATTACATTTATATTATTTAGATAGTAAATATTAATGCGATTCAAATTTAAAGTTTGACCATGTTTGACCTATTAATTTAATTCGTTTACTTAATACGAATAACTTCTTTCGTTTCTTTAATTTGTGATCCATATATATATATATATATATATATATATATATATATGTGTGTGTGTGTGTGTGTCAAAGATGTTTAGTATTAATTCTTCTATTTTCCATCCATTCATCACTAATAATGCATGACATAGATTAATCGATATAGATCGAGACGTTTTATTTTTACTATTAATAGATATAGGTCAAACATTTTTTTTTATATTCAACGATGCATCCAATTAAGTTATAAGTCGATGAATTACAAAAGTGTTAACGGATTACACTTATATTATTTAGATAGTGAATATAAAAGTGATTCATATTTTTTGACCAATGTTGACCTAATAACTTTGGTCGGTTATTTTCCAGAAATTAAAATATAACAACCAAAGTTGGTGGGTAAATGCTTCCTCTGCATTAACCGACCAACTTTGATCGGTAATTTTAAATAAAATTTCTTTAAATTTCATAAAACATTTTAAATAATAATATAACTATTAAAATTTTAAAAATTGGGTCCACATTACCGACCAAAGTTGGTCGGTAATGCGAAAGTTTCTTTGACTAAGCAAGTTTGACCAGCTCGGTCAACTTGTTGACCAAATTACCGACCAACTTTGGTCGGTATTTTTTAAAATAAATGTAAAATATTTTTCTCCCAGTTTTTGTCTAACTTTGGTCGTTTTTTTTGACCGATCAAC